ATGTATATGTGTATGTGTGTATGCATGTGTATGTATGTATATGTGTAAGTGTGTGTATGTATGTATATACATGTGTATATATGTGTGTGTATATAATATCATATATAATAGTTGTAGTAAAAGTAATTTAACCTTATCCCAGACTAGCTTATAAATAAACAAGACTTAGATTTCCCAATTGGAGTTAGGGCAGCCCAGGTGAAACATAATAAGTAATAACTTGGGGTTATGGATAGGAAAGTGGATTCTAACAAGGTAGAGAGTGTGTGTCTGCCCAGCTCTTGTGTTGTTTAAGGTTTATTGTAAATATGAAGGTTGTGTGTGTCTTTCATCGGGAATTTAACTAAGGTGGAGTAGAAACCTCGGGCCAGGATTAAATACCTTCTATAACAGATAGTACTATGTCATCAGCGTATTATAGGCAGTAGTGAAGACAGACATACAGCCAAACCAGAGGTTCTCAACCTGTGGATTGTGACCCCATTTGAAGCTTGAATGACCTTTTCACAGGGGTTGCCCAAGACTATCTGAAATATCAGATATTTACGTTACTATTCATAACGGTAGCAAAATTACAGTTATGAAATAACAAAAGTAATTTCTATGGTTGGGGGTCACCACAGCATAAGGAACTGTAGTAAAAGATTGTAATTTTAGGAAGGTTGAGAACCGCTGCTCTAAACAAATGCAAGTACTCGCACAAGGTCGGGGGGTGGTGGTGGGGGGAAGATACCAAGAACTAGAGCCCAGGGAACACCAAGCACTGTATTTGACAGCTGTCTGAAGACCTTACCTGAAATGCTCGGCAGGTATGGAAAACACCCTTTCACCAGGCTTTGGGATAGCAGGGCTCTTGTAGTAGGTATTTAATCTCCGTTGGGGGTTTCTGCCCCTCCTTTGATCATTCAGTTCCCAGATAAAGACATACGACTTTTACGTTTACGACAAGACTTTAAAGCACTAGAGCCCGGCACATATCTACCCTTTAAGCTATGGGCATCTACTTCCCTACCAATAACCCTGAGTTGTAACTCACCGTGTTCCATCTGGGCCTCTCTTAACTCCGTCAGGCCAGCCCTCATGTCCATGTTTTCATGACCCACCTACCTCATGGTGTCCTCTCCTCTCTTCACCTTCCCTACTTCCCCCTTTGTGGTCCTGCCTCAGACCCCAAGACCGGGAAGCCAAGCCTCACCTAGCTCTCTTCTGTCCTGCTCTATATAGGCTGTCGGCATCTTCAGTCAATAGTTTTACGTGAAGGAGCAAGGTCATGTAGCATCACTTGATGTACATGAGGATTCTTTCATCCCTGAGGCAACCAGACCTTGGGGGCTAGTGTTTAGCATTACAAAACATAGCAACAGAGCAAACCTCAGCACAGGGCAGCTGGTTCCTGGGCCTTCAGTGAAGGCATCTGACCTGCCACTGAGTGAAAAGGTCTAACCCAAGAGACTTAAGTACTTTTCATCCTACAATACTCTCCAGGCTCAGTGTACAGTATCGCTCAACTAAGAATGGATGTCCCTGTCTACCTCCCATCCCCTCTCCTCTCTCTTCCTATTTGAAAAACAGAACTAGCTGGGCAAGGCAGCTGGTGCAACCCCAGTCCTCTGAAAGCCAAGGTGCGAGGATTTCAGTGAATTCCAGGCCAGCCAGGAATACACAGCAAGACTTTGTATCAGTCAATCAAAAATAAATAAATGGGTAAATAAGTAAATAAAAATAGGTGGGCAGTGGTGGCGCATGCCTTTATTAACCACAGCACTTGGGAGGCAGAGGCAGGCGGATTTCTGAGTTCGAGGCCAGCCTGGTCTACAGAGTGAGTTCCAGGACAGCCAGGGCTACACAGAGAAACCCTGTCTCGAAAAAAAAAAATAAAAATAAATAAATAAATAAATAAATAAATAAAATAAAAATACAGCAAGAATGTTACATTAAATGTGACCTCAGACTTTGCTTTAGCCAGTGACAGATGCCTTTGGCTGCAGCACTCTTAAGTCTGAGATAGGTTAATCTCTGGGAGTTTGAGGCCAGCCTGGTCTACATAGCCTCAAAAAAAAGAGAAAGGAACAAAAAATAAAAGACACAGAGAGAGAGAGAGAGAGAGAGACAGAGAGAGAGAGAGAGAGAGAGAGAGAGAGAGCTAGAGAAATGGTTCAGTGGTTAAGAGCACTGACTGCTCTTCCAGAGGTTCTGAGTTCAATTCCCAGCAACCAAATGGTGGCTCACAACCATCTGCAGTGGGATCTGATGCCCTCTTTGGGTGTGTCTGAAGAGAGCAATGGTGTACTCATACATAAAATAAATAAATAAATCTTTAAAAAAGAAGGAAAGAAAGGAAGGAAGGAAGACAGAAAGACAGAAAAGAAAGAAGAGAAAGAAATCCAAACAGAATCTGAGCTCATGGCAAAGAAACCACTGTTATGCCCTTTGAAAGAAGAGGTACTAAACACCCTGAGAGATACTGTGCTTGAGAAACCCCCTACTGCAGATGTCCTGGCTCAAAGAATGAGGGACTGGGGAGCAGCGTGGTGGCAGAGCATTTGTCTGACAGGCACGAGGAGGCTGTGGGTTCTGTCCTCAGTACTGCTAAAACAAACAAAGTATAGCCGTGGATTACTATGCAGGTTTAAAGTCTAGTATTGTGATGGGCTTGGATACATGACGTCATGGTCAGCTACAGCTTCAACACTGCTGCGTAACAAACGCCCTCCAAACCTTCACACTTAAGAGGACAGATGTTGGCCTTCCTCATCTCCAGCTCTCTGGCTGCAGGTGGCTTCTGTTTCAGGCAGGGACTAGCAGGACAGTCTAGGCTTCTGGCTGAGTTCAGGTCGTCTTTATTTAGATCCACACCCTACATGGGTAAGTAGCTGTGCTAGAATACAGTCTTCTCAAAATAGATC